AAGGCAAAACACTGCACTATCTTCTGTTGTTTCTTTCCTGCCCCACCTGGACTATGTCCCTTCATCACGGGATCTGGTGGAGGGACACTGGGGCTTACCTAATACACAGTCTAAAACTCCTAAAAAGACAGCTACTGTCCTACTCTGCTGTGTTTTTCAGAGGTGCCATGCACAGAAAGTTTCAGAGCTGTGGTGATAGTAAAGGCAGTGTAAAAACCAGTTCAGTAATAAACAGATTGGCCCTGAATAACAAACTTCTAGTAGTCAGTATTATGGATGGCTGATAGGAGTTCAGCTTCACCAACAATATAAACATTAGTTTATTTTTCTCCTTGGGTCAACACAGAAAGGAAGTAGTTGAAATCAGCAATATAATTAAATTTCAATTCCTTTGTCATTCTCACATGTGTACAATAAGTCAAGCCTCACTCCACTTTCTGTGAAAAACAAATGCAGGAAAATCACTAGCCACTGCAGGCTCAGCACCCTTTCAGAGGTTGTTGAATTTTGCTACCAGACTACTCTGAAGGTGTGGACAACTGTTAAAGGAGGGAAGTTCTTTTATTTTATGCCTTCCTGTTACTTGATTTTCATACCTCATCCAACTTTCCATGCACTCAGCAACTCTGACACATCCACTTTACCCACACATACAATGTCCAACTGGTTTGAGTTACAGAAATTTGCCCCTCACATCTATTTTCTTGCAAGCTTATTCCCCTGTGTAATGGCCAGCCTGTTTATATCATGCACAAGCTTCCCTGGTAGTTACACCTGCTTGCTTCAGGCTGCAATGCACTCCCTTGAGTAGTTCTGTTTAAATCACATGCCCATTACCCTCCTTGGGTTCTGTCTTTTTCATTTCATGGTCTTGCAAGTACTATTCAACATTATGGAGAACATCAAGCTGGTTATACATATTTCTACAAAGTAAGACCACCACAGCTCTTTGGTTCCTCAACAGACTATACTTAACATCTGAGCTTTTATCCTGAGCTTCTATCATGAGCAAGTTGTAGACTCAGGAGGAAATATATTACTTTCTCCATCTTTCCAAAGCTAAGGAACCTAACCTGTCTCTCTTCACCTGCCTTTACACTGTATCCAGCAAAACAGTTGTAATACATCTTACCTCTGGGCACCATGAACAAGTATATAAGTGAAATTAAGCAAGGGGCAGGAATGGGCTTGACCAGCTTAAAAGCAATAGGCTAAAGCAAAGGTGAAGATAGGAGGAAGGAGCTGAGTGGACAAGTTTACTATTATCTTCTAGTTTCAGTAACAGTATATGGTTATTATAAAGTGCTTTTTCTGATCTCTGCTCAGTGACAGATTTACTTTCCTTTTATTTGGGGATGAAATAAAATCACTGTGGAATGTCAAAAGAGTCAGATGTATATCAGTTTCCTTACTGTGCGGGAATGTCTACATTTTCTTAGCTTCACTGCAAATAAAAGAGGGGAAATGGAGCCAGCCTGTTCATAAAACTGCACCAACAGTTCCTCAGTTTATCACTTTTTTTAAATAGGTGACTAATGAGTTCTTCAAAATGATTGAAATTACCATTGCCTTGTTAAAATAGCAGTTGTAATTTGACCCTACAGACCAAAGGGCCTAACACTTTGCCCGCTACAGTCAGTGGAAATTCGCTCCTATATTTCACTGGATTTCAGACTAACTACTGAGAGTTTAGGAAGATACCTAACTGAAGGAGGGAGAAGCTAATATGGAGCTTGAATAGAGAATGGCACTGAAAATCTTATTTCCTGCAACCTCAGGTCAAACCTGTGTGATTCCTGATCAAAAACATTGGAAGCATTTAATAAAGCATCTTAAATTGCCAGCAAATACTCACTGTGTTTATTTGGTTGCATGACATTTTATAATAGGTATTATATTGCATCATATCATGTTATATATTTAAAAAGTTTCATCAGAGAATAAAGGGGGAACCAGGTTTCATCTCCAAATTCATTCCCTAAAAGCAGTAAGAACTAAATGTAATTATGCAGCTTCCCCATTTCAGGATGCTCTCTGGGATACAAAGATCCGGAATTCCTCCTCAGACAGATTTTCTTGAGAGATTAATGCCCTGAATAACATAGGAATGTTGATTATTTACTTGACTTTTTTTTATATATTTTTTAAGCATTTATTTTCCTTTCATCTTCCCAGTGATTTTTTTCTTCTTTCTTTCCTGTATTTTTATGTACCTCAAGACCTTTTTTCACTTGTCCCCAGTTCCTTCTTTCAAGCTGCTTGAGTGTGTCACACCAGAGCCCTGCCCTCCAGGTGTCTTTCTCCGACAGCCTCTCTCTCAGTAAATGTGACAATATCCTTTTCTGTTTGCTTTTCTGTATCCCTCTCTTTTCTGTTAGATACTTTCCAAGTGTTAGTTTGACCTCAGGTCTCCCTCCTTGTGTTTTAAAACTGAAGAAGGACCACAGCAGTGCCAGATCTCTCTGCTGCAAATGATCTCTTCTACCAGCTCTTGTCAAGAGCAACCCTGTTCTTGAGCTACAGCAGGTCCCCCATGGAGTGTTAAGGCCACCGATTGAGGTGCAGGTTGGTTGCTTGCCTGCCTCATAGGGAAGCCAGAATGCAGCTGGGCCAGAAAATGTAGAGACTGAAGAGATTAAAACTCATTCGGTTTAGAGGAGTTTTGTTATAAGTTTTGGGCAGAGATAAAAGTTGCATCCAATCCTGTGAAAAGCAGCTCTTTCATAATAAGCCTATAAGTAAACCTGTAACTAAATGTTTTAAAGGGATCTTACCAGGGACCTTGCAGGACTCCCATTTTTTTCACATTCATTTTGGGCTATAGAGCTTCTCTTCTCTACCTCCTTGATGCCCATTGATCTGCTCTCTGGAGGGTCTTTTCTAGTACAGCTCCTCTTCCAATCTTCAGCCTCTATTCAGCACCTCCTAGGATTGCTGTCCTACTTTTTCTAGGAATATTTTGAATGGGTGGGCACTGTTTGCAAGCACTAATTAAACTCATGCATATGCTAATAAGACCATCAACAATGGAGAATAATAGAGTTGAGAGTCTGTGTTATCTGCATTTATTTCTTTTTTAATATGGCTTTTGTCAGACTCCCCCACCAAGCTGATCTATAGTCCAGCCAGTATCACAGCTTTCATTTCTCACTGGTTACCACCATGGTGTCCCTTATGTTGCAGTAACACGCTGTTCTGCTACCCGTTACTCCTTATGTTAGATGCAGCTTCCTTCCTTTGCTCCAGGACAATGACGACGAGTGAATAAAATAATCCATGTCAGCCCTTTTGTTTCAGTACAATTGCTGCTAGGTGCCTATAAACAATACATCATCTCCTGACCCATACCCAGACCAGGCTGCTGATACCAATGGACCGATATTCTTGTCTGGTGTGACCAGATGGTATCTTATATTTTCAAGCCTATTCATAACATTTAAATTGTTCTTAAAAGCAACACTGGGTAGAACCAAGGACACAATAATACTGCTTCACTACTTTGAAAATTAAATTTGTTATGTGTAAAACTGAGAATGGCTTTTCAAAATTCATTTTTTGAAAATTCTGTTTCTCACATTTACAAACTTTTTCTGCAGCATATAATAATGGGAATATAGGCAAATACGTTCTTGTCTAATTCTTGTCTCTTCTCTCTCTCTTTTCCTGTCATTACATGCAGATGATAGACATGATGTACTTTGTTATCATCATGTTGGTGGTTCTGATGAGCTTTGGTGTCGCAAGGCAGGCTATCCTCTTCCCCAATGAGGAACCTTCGTGGAAGCTGGCAAAAAACATTTTTTACATGCCGTATTGGATGATCTATGGGGAAGTGTTTGCAGACCAGATAGACCGTAAGCAAGTTTATGATTCTCATACTCCAAAGTCAGGTATCCAACTTTGATCAGATGATGTCCTATTAGATCATATATGTGTGCTCAATAAATGGCTCAGGATAGAGGAACTCCCTCATCACAGAGAATGGCCACAAAAATATTTTTTCAGCTAATATTGCGGTATCAGTTTTAGAACATGCTTCTGACATCACTTTGTAATTACTTAACCAGAAATCTGTAATGCTAAATTATCTTGTATATAAAGAATGTTTTAAATGGTTCCTTTTTACTAGATGGTGACAGGAATACCCCACTTGGTACCCACCATGAGTTTGTTGGTATATCTGGGACATAAAAAGTCACTTGTTTTTTTCTCATCCATTGGTTTGATTTTAGACCTAAATGCTTTATACGTAACTTCATACTGAGCATCAAGTCTAATAATATCGGGTTAGACCTTCAGCTCCTGCGCTTCATGAGGATCTAATCCAATGTGTTTTCTTTTCTGTTACCTACTCATTGCTACCACCTTTATGCTAAACCATGTGATGCAATTCTTAGGGAACAGTAGATCCATTATTAGAATTTTGCTTTATTTCTTTTTTGGAAGGCAAGACTGTGCTCACTAGTCCAAACAGAACAAAAGCCAGTGTTTCGTATATATCTCCTCAGGACTCATTTGGCTGGTGTTCAGGAAAATGCCAGTTTTCTATGTAAATTAAAGCTCCTGGTGCCACCTGGTGCATTACACCAAAGGAGAAGGGTGGTCATGAGAAATGATGTGGTAGATGAACAAACTAAGAATCACAATGTATCTGTAGCAAATGTTGACACGCAACTGATATTCTTCATTCCTACTTAAACATGAGTAAGCCTTGGCTGCATTTAGAAGCGAGTATCATCTTTTCCAGTAGCAGAGGGCGCCCATTAAAGCTCTATTTAGGATATTCCTTTTTATCCTATGTACCAACTTAGGAAAAGTCAGTGTACTCATAATTTACCTTCTGCTTGTTCAATATTAATCAAGTTTCAATGGAAAAAAAGGTGCTGATTTTTACTGAGATGGTTAAGGTTACAAATGTATCCATATTATGAATAATTCCCCTAATTTACAGAGTTACAGACAGACAGATGTATATATATCACATGGCAGATATTTCAGCAGTTCCATCTTCATTTCTGCTTCCTGGTTAGCCCAGAATCCTTACAGATGAAATCTCTTTTTTATATTTACTTCCCCACTTTGTTTTCAGAAGTAGCGTTGCATGCAAGGAAGTAAACAAATACCGAAAGTCACACAGCTTCTCACAACGTTTTATCCAATTCCCTCATCTTTATCCTTTTCCCTTTTCTTTTTTTTTTTCAAATTCATTTCATTTCAAAGGCATAATAACTGGGAGTATAAAACTTCATCTTGCTCCAAAACCATAATAGATAGATAAAGGTTTATTCCATTAAACTATGACTTTCTTCCACAAGCAGAATTCTGTCTGTCCCTCTACAAGTGGCCGTTTATTGATGTTATATTAAGTAACTACCATAGTGCAACAAACATGGCAACTGGCTGAATAAAAAGTTATTGGTATTTTTTTTAACGAAGTGCTGATTATAGTTTAGAACCCCGAAACCTGAGAAACTAAAGTGTCTTTGGATGAAGCATGTTTTTTAAATATGAAAAGAGGGTGGCAGGCTCCATACCCTTGCATGAGGATTGAGGGGTAGTCTTGTGTGTTACTCCAATGCCCAGCTTTTAAACTTTGGAAAAAGATGCAGCATAATTGCATCTAAGCATGAGGCTTAGAGAAGGCAAAATTCCTGATGGTTTCAACTCCAGCTGTAAGCATAGACTTGTTGTTCTCTCTGTGTCAAGGAAACTAGGAGGTGCAGCAGAAGTGGTGATGCCAAAACAAAAAGCAGGACCTAGTTCCTCCTTCCTGAGAGACAGATGATGCAGAGAATTAGAATCTGCCACTTTTTCAGCACAAAATACATGCAATATGTCATGTCTGTCTGAGACTTGGTTGTCTCAAAAATGTTACCTCTGAAATAGAATAGGAACATGAGAAAATGGTTGGTGATGTTGTTATGCAATCAAAATGACCTGATTGGCACCCAAAAGGTTTTACTAGTATACTTACATTTTTTTCACTATTTCGAAATTTTTGTTATATGTATTTTCCTAGTTGTTCTAAGCTAAATCAGCCACTGTATTCATGTTAGAGTACTACAGTGTTTGTACTTTCTCAAATAAGGTAAACACATTCTAAAATTGTTATGCTACATCTAAACTGCAATTGAATTTTATATCTTGAAGCAGAATTTTTTATTAATATTATTTTAGCAAACCAAAAGGGTTTCTTTGTAGTTTTCTTTATATTTTTGTTTTTTAATATTGCAACGCTATTTCCAAGTTTGAGATTCAAGAAAAATGCTGGTCTTGGAACTGCAAATACATTTGAGCCATGCTTCTAGAGATTATCCTAGTGTCTGAGAAATATACAAAAAAAAAGCATGCTACTCTAAAATTTCTAACTTACTTTTCTTTTTTTTTTTCATTTTCTGTTGATCTGTGAAGCATGCTATTAAGGCTGACCAGCTACAATGTCTGGATCCATCTCATCAGCTGGCAGCCTGTCCATCCAGTGGGTCTACTCTGATTTTTATGTCAGCACACTGCACTCTTAAAACACTAGCTAAATGCCTCGCTCTAAATAGTGCATGTTGTATACATTTAGATTTTTACCCTTAATTTCTGTATTCGTTTCATTTTTTAAGTACATATGTTAACTGGAGTGTGCATTAGTGTCCTGTTGGCTTGTGATCTCATCATCAACTCAGAAGTGGGGACAGAATCACATCCTCACTTCTGGGAGTATTAATACACTTTTCAGTGGTGGTGTTTCTTATCAGTGATGTACATAAATATCATATTCCTACAAATTCCTGACCCTCAACCAATTGCAAAGGGGGAAAAAAAAACAACCCACAAAAAAACACTGCAGAGTAAATCTTTTAGAACTTTGTACAAATTTTCATGTAAATTCAACAAAAAGAGCAAAACTCAAAACTAGTCTCAAAAACTAGTTACTCTCAGACTGACAGCTCATCACAGCCAGGTTAGGAAGGAGGAGGAAGGAGGATCCAGGTCAGGGAACCAGTGGTGGTGTATGCTTTTGGGCTGCCTTTCCTAATCCAGATGAGCCTTGTGCTGCCCGATGGGATCTGTGGGGCAGCAACCAGCAGCTTAGCTGCTTTAGTGAATGTCTGTCTGGAAAAAAATCCACAAATGCTGTAAAATCTCTCCCTCGGTTCACCTCATTTACTTCAGCACTGTTGCTGCCAATTTTAGCCAAAAAATTCACAACACAGTTGTTACATGCAAAGAATTTGGTTTTCACCTTACCAAGCTATCTTCTCCTCCAGAATACAATGGACACAGAAGCACATACAAAATGATGAAGAGGAAAGGATTATCCAAAGAATTAGTTTGATTGGTAAAAAAAATCTAGATGACAAAAATAGCAGCATGAGAAATGGCAGTCACCTGTAGAAAATCAGCAGTAGACCTCACATTTTCCTATGCTCAGAAGGCAAAACAACTGAAAGTACTGTTAGCCAACATACATTTGGGGTTTTTGGTTTGGGCTGGTTTTCAGATTTGCCTGATGTCTCACATGTCAGATTTGCATCTGGATTTTTTTTCTAGCTGACAGTATTTGAAGTGCCATCTGAAATCTGAAGATCAGTCTGAGTTGTGTTTGTTCTTTGTGCTTACTGTCTTATTGGAAAAACCTGCATAGTTTAAGATAACAAGATGAGGCCTCCTTCTCTTTCACTTGTATAGGAGGAATGCCAGGTAACCAGAATGCAGTTATTTTGGAAGATGAAAGATGATTATACACAGGTTTTAACTATCCAATGAACTCAAGAGGAACGTATAATCACTACAAAAGACTTCTTCAGAATTCTTGAAAATTCTTAATCTGTTTGTTAGATTTAATTTTTTAAATTACTGAAGATTTCTTAGTGTAAATGAAAAAAACTTTTTTTTTTTCATCTGTATTACAGCTCTGCAGCACCAGCAATATTTTTAGCATTGTTAGACAAAGGCACAGGATAAAATTTGGGCACAGCCTACCCACCATTTTGAAAGTCTCTCTTTGAAAGTTGTAGTAGTATTCCCCTTCCTAGCTCTCCTCTGAGTTTATATGTTGGGTTCTATTTGGTTGGATATTTTTAATGTGGCAAGGAGGAGGAGGGAGAAAGCACTGCAGAGAACAAAAAAAATACAGCGATTTACTATAAATTATTATTAAAATACCAGCAGATTGGAGAACTGCTTTGAAGTCATTTTCAATGTGGCTGAGGGCAAGAAACAACATGTAAGGTCACAGTGCTATAGTTAAAGCAACTTTTTTGAAGTAATGAGACACTGTTCAATTCCCTGAATGTTTCTGCTGATGAACAGAGCAATGATGCGAGATTCAGAGTTTCCAGAGTTCAGTATTTTCTCTGTCAGTGTAGAAGTGGACAGCCTTAGGCAGCTCACTTAGCTTTTTTTCAGTATTTGCCAACCTGGCAAGCTGGTAAGGTTGCTTAGACATTTGCTTTAAAAAATCACATCCTTTGGGTTCAGCACAGATCAAAACTGGAAGGTGCCTATATACTCATAAACAGGATTATGAAAGTGCATTTACAGACTGGAAAAAAAAAAAAAGAGGCCTGTTAGCTAGTTGATACACACTTATGAGTGTCCTTATTCTTTAGAATTGTGATCATGTGAATCCATTCCACAGTTTATGTTTTCAAAGAAATCAACTTGTAGTATAAAAGTGGTATCCATTTGTACATGAGAAGTTTTCAAAAAAGGCAAAAAACTAACGAACTGTAACAAACTGTTCAGTTGTGCACTTTCCTCTCTCCAATATTCCCACAACTACTTTGGAAGGGTGCAGGTGGAGGAGGACTCATGACACAGAAATTTGCAAGTGTTTTTTCCTAAGCTCTCCACCCAATACACAGTAAAAACGAGCAGTGCCCCTGTCATGACAGTAATTACAGCAGGGAAACAAATTCTTTCCAAACTCTGCTGCCACTTTAGGCCTGAAAGACACAGAGATGTGGGTTTCTGCTGTTTGCTTTGCAGCCATTTGCTGCCCCAGAAAGAGGAAGGGACAGGTATGTAGCAGGAAAGGTCCATACAGGAAACTGTAAACGGGAGCCAGGAAGAAAAAATAAGCACAAGAGGAGAGTGCAGAAAAGGAAATGAAAGATGCAAAAAATATGTACATCCACAGATGTGAGGATACTGTGTTTGAAAACTGATTGAAGTTAATGCATGTAATTGAAATTAAAATTCCAGCCAATTATTATTTTCTAAAGCCTGAGTTCAGGCCTTAATGTCCTACCTTTATCCAATGCCCTATAGGTGTCAGACTACCTGGGTTTTTCAGTTACCTGAAATATGCACATAGTTATACTAACAGAATTTACTTCAGCAAAACATGTCACTAGAATTAAGTACCCTATGTATTTTTTGCTAAAGCAAGTCTGTAATGTAAAAAGATATGTTTTCAAACATGTTAAAATTGTGCTTTGAAAAAGTTTGTCACTGCAATATGTTACTGCATGTACTACAGAATTTACTGCATTTCTAAAAGCGTAATTAAAATGGTCAGACAGTATTATACACAAAAAGCAGGTGCAGATCCCTCAGAGATGAGGCACCACACTCAGCAAGTGAAAGCTCTGGCTCTATGGGATGCATAGTGTTACCACAGTAGGAGCACTGGGACTCCGATGCTGATCAAATGGGGACCCAACACAGTGCAGCCCTGCTCAGGAGTGAAGATCTAGGGAAAGCACTGCAGGGATGGAGAATAAAAATTGCACTGATTAACATATCTTGCATATGTAATGTCCTGTTTTGCTCATTAGCCAACTGATATAATGCAGATGCTGCTGTCCAGATTCCAAAATCTGTAGCTGGCCTTCAAAGGGAGGGGGGAGTGAACCACCCCAGGTTATCCGAACAAGGAGATAAAACATGCTTGGGACTGTATATACTCAGATGGGGGAGGTGAATTGTCCCGGGTCACCACAACAAAGTCTTCTCATGCCCTACAAACAGAATTCTAATTCTTAAATGTAAACAAGTATCTTCATTATCTAAAAATAATATCATTGCTACATTTAACCTCCCACCAGATACCTCTGTCCATTTTCAGAGACAGAGAAAATTGTGTTTCTGGTTTTCTGGCAGTAATTGTTTTAAACAAACCTATTATTTAGTAGTGGGGGGGGGGAACAAAACAACTTTTAAATTAATGTTATAATTTAAAGATGCAATATGATGTTAATTTCAGTGATGTGCAGTGGAACACAGGCTTTTGCATTTTGGACACACATCACACATTTTTTCATGGACCTGAAGATGTGATGATTAAATGGTAGCTTAGTTCTCCACAAAATAAGGCATAAGATTAGTATTCCCTTGTTATTTAAAAACTGTTCCCACATCAGAACATGCAAAAGAGAAAAATATTTGAAACCTTCAAGTCAAGCTGAACATCTATTCATGTATAGAATAGACTATGGGAGCTTGTCTATGTAGGAAGTCTAGTTTGGCTGTCACTATGCATTATAATGACAGGAATGCTTTAATGGTATTCTAAATGCTCTGTTGCAGACAAATAAAGCTGGAGATATATTTTTTGCCTTGAAAGTTGTCAAAGATTTTTTTTAAGATTAAATTCTCTTTTTAATAGAAAAAAATGAGATAATAGAATTGTAACAAGACTTTGAGCTGAGATTTTTCTCTCATTGATCTAAGGTTTAAAATATACTTTTTAAAAATGTCTCTCATTGCTACAAAAGACATTAATTGTTCTGTTCTTTAGCACACAAAAGGACAACAGGTTTCATCAACTGATAGAGTGATTGTTCCGTTACTGATGAAATCGTTATGGGTTTCAGTGTTGTGTTGTGTTGGACTTTGTAACTCCGAATCAACACGTAAGCAAGTTAGTGTTTCCACACCAGGAGAAATGTAAGTCTTGCATTGAGTACTGATACCAAGAGATACTGAATGTCCCAATTTCTGATGGGTGAAGGCTGAGTGCATACAGCCCCACACTCACAGCAGCTCACAGATGGCATTTTGAATGTTTAAATGAAACTGTTGCTTGGAACAGAGCGAGGAGCATGAAATCAGCACTAACTTAAGCATTCTGCAAAGTAATGCTTTCTGAGAAATGAAGAATTGCATGCTCTCAGCCTGTTCCACTAATAAAATGTATTTTTATAAGTAGGAAGAACTAGTGACACTGTGGGTCCAGACACAACAAAGCGGCTTGTAATAGTAGTACTGCTTGTATTTGGGTTGGCCATTTATTTTTCCATGAGTTTAATATCCTGGGAGAAGTCATGTTTGAAGCCAATGTATTCTTCTGTCTTGCAGGGCTAAATTATTTCGGCATGTAGTAGTCTAACAGCTATATGTAGTGCCCAAAACCAGGTACCCAGATCACATATCATATGGTTGCCAGTATAGATACCCACAGTTGAATCGCATGCCCTGTGAACCAAGATCAGGAGGACCTTTCTGAGAAGTAATACCTGGTATTGGAAATCATGGATTTGTTGACACAAGGTGGAATTTTACAGAACATATGGGATTGACAAACCTTGTCATCCATGATGTCAGGGGTAAACTCTCTTTGGTATCAACAGGAGCAGAACCAGTGCTGAGCACTTTGAAAATTCCTCACTTAAACTTCTTTTGGATGGGGACAAGTGGAAGGTAGCAGTAGTGCTGTGCAAAATTTACTAAGGTGGTCTGTATATGTAAGCCATTTCTTCAATTTTCTTGAAGAGCTGATTAGAGACATACTTAGGACCGCCAGGACTGAGGCTCAAAAGACATCAACTGAACCTACACTTGCAAATGCAGATCACCTATACACATGAAGGCGTGTTAAAAAATAAGTATGGAAAACTATTTCACAATGTTTTCTCTCCTCCACCTCAGTTCTATGATATTAATACAGAGAACATTTTGGTTCCAAAGCACTTGGAGAAGAAACAGGTGACAGCTTTGCTTCCTATATGTCCTTTTACTTGGTACAGTAAAAATCTGGTAATCTCCCTCACTGTTTCCAGGCATGCAGTCAAAAGTCCTGAAAAGCAGAGGGTCATTACGAATACATCCCAGGGAGGCTCCGAGCAGTACAATGCACAACAATAAATGTCTACTCTTTAATTTACTTTCATGTACTTATTTTGCCTTATGCTATTTATCATATCCCACTCTATCAATCAAAAAAGACCTAACTTTCAACATTAAAAAATAATACCTAAGCTTTTTCCAGGATTAAACACTTTGATTATTTTATTTGCACAGCTGCTAATCACTACCCAAGTACTATGACTTTTTAGCTATATGGAACCAGGCAGCTTACTCACACCAGGCATGTCTTTTGCAGTTTCTGGGGGGGATATCTTGATATTCATGGCAAATAACACACTGTAACAAGAACCACAGCTTGTAAAATCTGCAATGGCAAATGCAAACTTCTTGGGGGAGCACCAGGGACACTGTTATTTGGAAGATATTTCTTTGGCAGGTAGATCAGTTTTAAGTATTTCTGTAAAAAGCATTGAAAAATTAAGATTTGTTCCTATTTTGCATTGTTTTGCATTTTTGTTCCCAGCTCCTTGTGGTCAAAATGAAACCAGAGAAGATGGCAAAATAATCCAGCTACCTCCCTGCAAGACAGGAGCATGGATCGTTCCTGCCATCATGGCCTGTTACCTCTTGGTTGCAAACATCCTTTTGGTGAACCTCCTCATTGCTGTTTTCAAGTGAGTGACACATTGCAAAGTGTGGACCTGGGGAGATGGACATTAGTCAGAACCTAAGGCAGCTGCTAAGCTGAAGACTTTGGCTGAGAGTCATTTTAAGAGGATGTGCAAGTGAGAGAGAAAGAGACAGTAGCTTGTCTACAGGGAATGAGGGAAATGCCAAGTTGTTCACATTGTCCTGTTTCCAAGGACAGACACCCATTGGGAGTCAGGACAGAGAAGCCAAAAAAATTGAAGTTAATGTATGGCATCACTCATTCCCAATATGGAAAAACAAGAATAAAAATACTGTCCTGTTTCATCAGGTTGTTGTAAGACTCAGTGGTTATGCAGAGCAGATGTAGCCATAAAAGCAGCATATTATAAAAGTAAGATACTTTTGAAATGGCTGATTGCAACTGTGTTTTGCTGAAGCACAAACATTAATTTCTTTTTGTTCTTCTTCCTCTTTTTCCAACAAGGAAACATTTGCCACTCTTGGTGAAATGTGTCTAGTTAAGGTGCTGTCATATCATCTGTGGCAAAGAATCCAAAATAATTTCAGTCTGACGTTATTTTCCTCTTCTCACCTTCTAGCAATACATTTTTTGAAGTCAAATCCATATCAAACCAAGTATGGAAGTTTCAAAGATACCAGCTAATCATGACATTTCATGAAAGACCTGTTCTCCCACCACCTCTGATAATTTTCAGTCATATGACTATGATATTCCAACACCTCTGCTGCAGATGGCGGAAGCATGAAAGCGACCCAGATGAGAGAGACTACGGATTAAGTAAGTCTTAGACAATTTACAGAATGGGACCTTCCAGTGCCATTGGTAATATCTAGTGTTGAACATAAAAGAAGGTAAAGTCCAGGATCTCAATAATCTTTCCAGCAGAGAACTACTTTTAACTGCAAAATTTTTACCTGAATTAGTTAGTTTTATCTGCATTATCCAATCCCTTAGTTCTCCTCTGAACATTAGTAAGGCTATGTTTTTCTGGGACTTTTAGGGGTTATTCCCCACTTGTGTTCCTTCAAAGCACTGGCGTTTGTTTTGCTGTTGCTAGAGGTCTGTTATTTCTTACAGTCCATCACACTTCCAGATCTCAGTTTTGTTTCTGAAAATAAAAGTCTTTTTTTCTTGAGCAAACAGCACATACTTTAACCCAAAACACTTTTTTCCCCAGATAAGCTGAGAGATGGTGAGAAGATGTATGTGTGTAAATACATATTCTCTCCTTGACACAGATTCAAACTGGAGGAGTGGTTTCTCCACACACTTGACTATCAACTGAAAAACCTGTCAGATTATTTTAATAACCCTTTTCCTCTTCTTCTCTACCTAGTTCTTCAAAGTAGATCTCCACCTCCCCCATTATATATGCCAAAGGCAGGTAACTAAGGGATGTGCATCTCTTTCCAACGTTAGCCCTTGCCACAGCCCACTTCTCCATGAGGAGGGAGCTGGAGCCATTTGCTGGCACTGGAGATGCAAGCGCAACCATAGTGTTCTTCTCCCACTCACACCACAGAGTTTGCCTCAGCCCTTGCTGCTGCCTGCAAATGTCAGCTCTTGCCATGACAAATTAGACCCTCTGTACTCTCAGGCTCCTTTCCTATCAGCCTGCTAATTAGATTATATTTGTGTAAGGTTACAGGTGGGCTTTGGCTCCCACTGGCTCCCCAGGACCTGACCAGCACCTGTGTTTAAATCTCATGCAATCAAAACACATTCATGTTTGCTCAGTATTTGTCTGCTTAAGTGTTTCTGTCTCCAGTATCATATATCATTGAAGCCACTAATTTGGCAAGTAACTGCATCTGTCTGCCTTCATACCAAAATGCCAGATAAATTTGAAGCCTGCTTTTATACGCTTAGTCCATGAATTCCACAGTAAGAATAATGTAGTTCATTTCATGTGTTAAACTTTGCCAAATTCACATTTTTCCACTGTTTCCACAGAACTTTTCATAACTGAGGATGAACTGAAAAAAGTCCATGATTTTGAAGAACAGTGCATAGAAGAATATTTTAGAGAAAAGGATGACAGATTCAATTCCTCCAATGATGAAAGAATCCGTGTCACTTCAGAAAGGTGCACTTTTTTTATTTGTTCTCTCATAATTTGATCTGGATATGTATTTCTGTTGCCATTATCACTCCTACTTTCTTTCTCTTGAAGAGGGAAACATTTGAGGTATTTTTTAATAAGACTTAACTAAAAAGTAGAGTGATAAAAGGTGATTAATTTCTTTTTTTAATTTTTTTTTGCTAAAGCTAATGTTCCTCCAGGTTTTGAAAAGTATGAATCTTTTAACCAGTTGTATTACAACACAACTGACTTACTGAGAAACACAAAATATTCTTGCATTTCAGTTCTTAAAGTAAAACTTTAGGTCACAAGTGGTCAGAACACAACAGCAGAGTAAATGAGAGTTCCTCAATGAAAACTACAGCTCTAGCACTAACCTATTAGCCATTCAGGTAAAGGTTATCTGCTCTGGTGCTCCTAGGCTTTCATCACACAGCAGATGAGCAACAGTTAAATTTTGAGAACAGTTTGTTGTTTGATTCATAGCACTGTTACCAATAAATATTTTAGGGCAATATCCTGTCAAATATTCATAAAACTTAAGAACCACTGAATACTCCATTCCCTGAATAGTCCACTTTAACCTGAATAACAGAGGTCAAGCAAGCTGTCATTGTAATCAATTACACAGATACAACACTTTTCTCCTTATACGTAATCTTGTAGCACTTGCCCTGATGTAGCTATGCCTAAAATATGTTTTTTATAGGCAAGGAAATACTTTTAATTTTAACTTTTAATTAAAATAAATCTATCTCACAGTGAGATTAGCAGATATAACATCCTTTAATAATCTGCATTACTGAAAACAGCACTCTTAAAACATTTGGAAAATTATATTAAAAGGAAGTATGGTAAGACATGGAATTACATTCTTGTAAAGAAAGTAGTCCAGCTCTACTTGGTCTGGTAGAGACAAATGAATGAATTGATAGAAGTCTGTATAATTATGAGTGTAAGGAGAGGATGAGTAGAAATAAATTGCTGTCTCTCCCAGAACAAGATATAGCAGAGCAACAGATTAATCTAGCAGGAGCCCAGGATCAACCTAAACAAAACTAGGCGACTTTTTCATGCATTATGGAACACAGTAAATTCTTGAAAGCTGATGAGGTCTAAAAGAAGCTGATGGTGTCAGGTAAAAGTCTACCCTGGTTCAGAGACTAGACAAGCTTATGGAAGAGAAATCCAGTGAGTCCTGCTAAATACCTGGAGATCATATTGAGCCCATGAAGTTCCAGGGCAGAAAATGTTCAGAGACTGAAGAATATATCCTGCAAATGAATAATTAAGTTCTCTCTGAAGACCTTCCATTTGCAGGAAGCTGAGAATGCCTTGCTCTGAGGCTCAGCCTAGGTGAGACACAGAGGCAGGATAGGAGCGCAGGAAAACAAAAGAACAAGATATCTTGTTTCTTGCTGCATTGCCTTGGGTGTAAATGAACAATTTCAGCTAAGCAGTCAGTATCTGTGCTGGGTCAGGACCATAGCACCTCGTCTGATTCACCCACAAGATGCAGTTTATACTCTCACTTTGAAATAGTCCACCCTGGCATCCTGTGGGCCCTGTCTTGGTTCTGCAGTGACCTTACTTCTCTTGTAACAAAGAACACCACAGAGGTCTCTAGACTTGATGTCACCTCTCCTTTACCTGATCCTTTCACATTCAGAAATTAAAAACATGAAATGACACTTGGTGTTTGTCCTTCCCTGACCCCACGTACTAAATAATTCGGACAAGTTGGTCTCTAGCTACTGTCTCACAAACACACATGGAAGTAGCAGCAGGATAGTAATACACATCAGAAAAATTGATTGATTAAGCAAAAAAATACAAAGCAGTACAAAGCTGCAAAGTGTTTTCTTTAACCGCATTTATCAGGTTAGGCAAATCTTGGTGAATCTCCTAGATTTATAGTCTGCAGTGCAATTGCACTTGTGAATGAAGACATAGATACCTTGATTTCAGAGATGGCATGCTAAAGTGCATAGAAATGGGTTTGGATTGGTAAAAGGGCTGCTGATGAGCCTACCAGATCCAGCCACACATGCAGAGTGGCAGTAGAAAAGGTCTGTGAATCTGGCAGCATCTCTCTGTGATCACAAAGAGTGAAGTGGTCTTGGGCTCCAGAGAGGAGTGCAGCCAGGACAACCACATCTGGGAAAACTTGCTGGCCTCTTGCATCAGAAACGCTTTACCAAAGGATGTTAGGCAAAGTACAAATATTGAGAACTGTGGCCTATGTTTTATTTACACAAAAACATTCCACCGTCATCTATAACATCCGGGGTGAATACCACTGTAAGTGGCTTTCAGTGTCTACAATCTTTGCTGCAGTTGAAAAGGATTTTGAAGATAGCAATGATGCCTTAAAAATGAACATAGGTCCACAAAGAGAGTTGTGAACCTAATTCTAACATTCAATTAAGAGCTCTAATTCTGAAAAGAGTGCCTTACTCGCATTAAATCATTGCTTCAATTAAATTATTGATGAACTGATGTGTAAAGGTTAAAAACAAATATAACCAAAATGAATGCCAGCAAAAGCCATCACCTCTGAATTCATAATTAAAAAGACTCATCACAGGTAATAAAAAAGTCTTTTCCAGTTTCCTAGTTCTGACCTTGTTTTCTTCCTGGTTAGTGAATATTGCTCCCAGATAGCCCATGTTTTTTTCACTATTAGAAATTTTCGAGCTCCAGCAGAACATACTTGATGCACATTTTACATACAGCCTCCTCTTTTTTTGTTCTCAATCCCATCTGTTACCATGGCTTGGCATCATACACTGGATAAATCTTGCTGTAAGGAAAAGCAGAGGTGTAATAGAGACATCATACTTGGATATTGTGAGGTTTGCCAAAAAGTTTATACTATCTCCAATGCACGTGGGAAAAAACCCAAAATGAAACTTAGGCATTCTTATTTTAAAATAATGTTATATTTCAAAAATGTCCCTGAAGGAAGTACAGCTCTACTTGTCTCTTCATTGAGTGCAAGGTCATCCAACAATACAGAAAAATAGAAAGTTGCACTTATTAAAACATTTTAAGGACCAGATTAAGACTGTATTTCTCCAGAACATATCCTCTTATGTCCACAATGTCTACCTGATGCGATTTTATCTTGTTTCTAGTAGGATTAACCCCTGAGCATAGCTCTATTCTGTATGCTGAATGATTGCAGAACTGAACATCACACTAATGTAAGAGAATATAATGAATTAAAAGAATAAATATTTCCTTAAAAATCTGGGAGTGACCATATGTAACATATATTACAAAAGGTGACTAAATTCAGCTAGTAGCTTTTAGCTCGGAGGAAATCATCATCACTCAAGATTTCTTTTTGTGAATAAAATTATATAGTTAGAGCTTATCTAGTGTAACTACATATATGTACTTCTCAGTTATCTATGCACATCTCTGGTTACCCTTGATTTCTGTATTCAGACTGCACTGTCCTTATCTTGTTGGCTTTCTATATAAATTTCCTACTACTATTGGTACAATCACATCTGTGATTACTTTCATAGCAACCAACAGACCATGTAACTCAAAAGTTTGCCTTTGTCTTGGCCAGCAATACCACCAGTCTTACATTCTGTGCCTTTGGCAGTAGCTAATAGATCAAGTTCAGGGAAGGGAGGACAAATATATGAATGTGTACCAGCAAAGTATGACTCTAGATTCTTCTTGGGATGCATTATTTGTGTTCAGTAGCATTCCATAGCCTTAACGTGAATGCAGGATGCAAAACTTATCTCATTATGGACAATTCTACTCATATTCCAGATACAAATATGTAAACAAGTGCAATAATTTGATTGGCTATGTTTGTATTGAAAATTATTTCACTTATATACAACTCTCAAAGCAAGCAAAAAAACCCTTCAAACCCAAAAACTATCCAGTTAGCTTCACAGAATGTCATAAATTAATTGTTCCGTATGTCTGATATGAAATTATGTCCCATGCTTGCAATAACATTCTCTGTTTTGTTGGAGAAGTTCACAGAACTAAAGGTAGACTGGTGCCTAAATGATGAGTAGAATGAGTCTCCTTGAAAATACAGGTTCATTTCTTATTATCTCACTGATTACTTATCATTCATCTACTGAAGTGTGATGACAGCAATACATCTGCTGCTTCACATTTTATTTGCTGTGCTTGTGCTTTCAAAACTCATGATCTTCAACAGAAAGAGCCCATATTTCACAAGGATGCAAGACTTGCTGTAGTGATTGGTGTCACACTCCTTCGTCTCCTCTCTTGTGCAGGCAGGTTGCTGTCATTCATCACCACAATGTAGTCAGACCTCAGTGTTTCACCAGCTGAAGTTCTGTGCATTAATTAACAAGGCACTTATGCTACCCAGTAATCATTCATTGCTAAAATCTGGTTTTCTTCTGGGCAAGTAAGTTTACGGTGTTGACAGTTCCAGGTCACTCGTCCTGTTGGAAATTCAACTAGCAGTGGTAGAAGATTATGTTTAGCTCATCAGAAATCCTGGGTATGATGGGCAGGTTGCTTATTAACATTTGAGTATGAATTGCACTAACAAGCAGAGAATAAGTGACTTGTGAAGCAAACAGTGTAGAAATCTTGCCACTTGGTATTTGTTGATTCTCTGTTCATTTTTCAGTATCTACAGGAAAGGGGAAAACCACAATTGTAACCTTAAAAATCAGACAAAGATAACTACATAAATGTGTTGCTTTTAATAGTTCATTGACAGGTAATAGTGGTCCCAGTCTACCATAGAGACTTCAACCACATAATATAATTATAAGAAGAAATTTCATGTGTGCTAAATGAAATTTCATTGTGTAAAATTAGAAGACTACATATAAATCCTTTAGTAGAGGTATTTTATACACCAGAAAATTTAAATGGTTGAAAGCCACCAGCTTAAATCAGTACACAGTTCATCTTAAAGTAAAAAACATTTTACAATAAGACAGATCAACAGATAGAGCAGTAAAGCAGATATGCTGAAATTT